TCTGTTAATTGTAACGATGTGTCTGACGTTAAACATGACATGGTTGATGTTACTGTTTCGCCGTTCAGGGATAATAGGAACATCAAACTCCCTAAATTAGAACCACGGTGTTTTGATGGAAACCCAGATGATTATTTACAATTTGTAAAGGAGTTTGAGATCATGTTGAGTAGTTTTTTATTAAGTGATGAATTGAAGTTAATGTATTTGATGAGTTATTGCACTGGAGATGCTTCAAGAGCTATACAGTGTTGTAAGTTTATGAAGCCAAAAGAGGGCTACGACGAGGCTATGAGCATATTACGTCAAAGGTTTGGAAGACCTTCAATGATTGTAAGGAACGTATACGAAGCTGTCAAAGGTAATGGCAGCCAACTTCGAGATGACTCCAAGTCACTTACTGAGTTTTTAGATAATCTTATGACTTATAAGAATGCAATGATTTCTATGAATTGCATGAGTGACCTCAACTCCAGCTCAGTCCTAGAGGTAATTGCGAGACGCCTACCTACTCGACTGCAAAGGAAGTGGGTGAAGATAAGCTCCCATATGGAGGAAGAGGATATCGATCCAAAATTTGATGATATCCCGAAACTAGTAAAAGATAGTGTCAATCAATCGATGAACAAGTTTGCCAGTATATTGAATCTCACCCCTAGAATAGAGCAGTCTGAGGGTAAAACGCAATCATTGATGACGAATAGGCCTCAGAGAGGTGGATATCGAGAAGGCTCCATGATGTCTAGTAATGCATATAGGCCTAGTGAGTGTAGCAGGTTTCGTAGTACATCCTCAACAGATAAGTTACAAGATGCAGGACAAACACGGTTGTGTTTTACACGTTTGCAAGAGGTGCATACAAAGGTGAACTGTGAACCAGTGAGCAAGTTCAGTGATAAGCTAAGTGTGGAATCAAGGTCTGACTTCGAATTGTGTGACGATAAGAGCGCGGTGAAGAAGCCTGTAGTTGCAATTAGTAAGCCATTGTTGAATAGTATGCCACAGAAGAGAGTTACAGTCTCAGAGGACAGTTCTGACTCCACAAGTTTACAAAGTATTACTAGTCAGAGTGAAGATATAAAACCTTTAATGATTTGTGAGGAGGAACCAAAATTGTCTACTTCTGTTATTAAAGAGTTTGAAAATGATGAAGTTGACGGTAAACTGAATATTTGTGATAATGATCATGATAGTGCAGATTTGTCTTTGGTTGATCATGATGAGATGAGGGATATGCCTACTACTGCTAAGTTAAATAAAGGTTCTGTACAACTACAACGTGAAGTAGAATTGAACGCAGATGCAGTTCCAGAAGGCACGCAAACCTGTGAGACAGTCAGTGTGATTGATCAGCATGTAGCCCACCTTTCATCAGATGCCAGTGCTAAGCCTGAGCTGATAGTAAAAGACGGCAGTCGTGGTAATCTTGCAGTTAGACAACTATCCGAAAGCCGAACAAGAACAGCTTCTGATCCACCGCTAATTTATTCAACTTGTGTCATTTAGTCGTCGCTGGTGCTGTCATCCACAATAAAACAGACGCCCATCAACTATAGTATCTTCTGCAACGACTACGCTAGTATCAGTCCGTTTAAAGAGACGAAAGATATTGGTCAGTTTAGTGAGGATAAGCCAAGTGTAAACGAGAGAGTAATTGTTAAATTGACTTGCATGAATAAAGGCATTTCTAGTTTCAAGTTACTATTTGAATGCTATTATCTTTGGTGTAAATTACTCTGTTTCTACGCTTGGTTGACCAGATACGTCGTGTGTTTGTTCGTCATCTATATTCTACGATACAATGACATGAGCGTGTTGCCGTTCAGATTTGAGGATATAGCTGATAGAAGGAAGTTAGCAAATGAACTCTGCGACGATTTTCCAACCTAGGGCGTCAACCTGAGAAGGTATGTAGGCGTACTGCTGTAAGTCCTACAATTCTTCAAAGGGTAGCGCATCAATGAGCAGTCCAATGTGCTTGGTGTGTGATTTTGTACATATGTTCATATAGTATATACTGAATTGATATCATCTTTCATCTATCTGTTGGTAATTCTGTTTGTGTCCGTACATTCCACAAATTACAATCGTCAACGTGAGAAGGGTTGTAGGCGTACTGGTGTAAGTCCTGCAATTCTTCAAAGGAATTCCATCAAGACATGATCGGCGAGGTTGTTTGTACTATTTGTATATACGTGTGGTGTGTCATAGCAATTGGTGTATTTTGGATTCATTGTGTTTACTTGTTGTTGTCGTACCTTGTTGTTATTGCGTAATTTTGTTAAAATTTCCGTCGTGATTACTTCTGAAGTTGTTTCGAGTCTTCTACATCCATGAATGAATTGATTGATGTTAGAGACAGCAGATGGGTCGTATACGCCGTGGAGGCTAGGCTATTGCTGAGAATGAAATGCATACGGAGATAATTGTTAGCTGCGGTCCGACACGCCGGAGAGAAAGAGTGTAAACGACTGAGGCTCGCATGCGTCACCGTCACTAGAACTGAGGCAGAATGAGTGACAAGCGATTTCAGTGGTAATTGGTAGTGAGTAGATAAGAGGATGTGCGTAGAGTATCGTGAGGTGCTGCCATGGTCACGTTGCATTCTGCAAGAGTCATTCTAGCAAGTGGCGATTGTGTTGCAAGATGTCAAGAGGAGGTCTCTGTCTGGAGGCGCAGGTCGTCATCGATGTGTGAGATTGTGCTGTGGGTATGCTTGTGGTGTGTTGGCTTTTCTGTTTGTTTTCCATTTCAGCTCTGTCCGTGTGACCCAGGTTCTCGCAATGGCATCCAAGTCAACGTGCATTGGTCGTGAAGGAAAAAAGGGTTGGATCCTTTTTTTGCCGGGGAGTGTCAATGGAGTTGAAGATTGAACGATCAATTCTTGGTTGTTTGCTCAAAATCAACTTCCCCAATTTTCGCGGAGGCATCAATACGACAGTCATCGTCTCATCGGTCGCTGTTCAGAAAAAAGAGTGAAACATCGTCAAAAGTAATACTATGATTTATTATTGTAATATTTGTTTTCAGACCTTAGTTCGCTTATTCTTTTTATATGTAACAATAAAGAAATATCAAGCGGCCAATCGGTGTTTTGGTTTTTTCGTCCTTTATAACTAAGCGTTTCTGAAATCTTCAAAGAACAGCGTGGGCCCGAGCGTAGCGAGAGCTGGGCATTAACGGTTTATGAGACGTGATTGACAACAGGCATCATCAAATTGTTACAGAAATAGAACCATGTTATTCAGTCACAATTTACAGTCGATAGCGAAATATGTTTTACATGTACGCTGGAGAGTATACATACACTTGATAAATGTTAATCCCAATAGTATAAAACATCCTTTTCACTTATGTACAATCGTTTCTGTGCATAGATGGAGAAATCTGCTAGATTGTCAGTGAGTGCGACACATCAGGAAATACAGAAGTATTGTCTTCGCATTAGCAAAAAAATAAGTGAGAACAAGGATCTGGGATCGGAACGGTATATTGGACTTGTGTTTACGACCCATTTCCGTAGCTAAATAGTTAAAATATGAAGCGAACAACTGGACAGTAAAGATGTATTGGAAAACTTTGATGAGCTGTTTTAGCCTATCTTATCCAAATGCGTCCTTAAAAAGTTCCGAAATCAAACCTTGAAGTCCTGGTTAAACATTGGTTCGCGAAAGATAGTACCGCATGTGCAGCAGTAGGAACCATAATGGTGTATCAAGATAGGCATACCCATTGTAACGATGTCCAGGTTGTGTAACATGGTGTCGTTTGGATGAATTCCATTCAATTGTTTTCTCGCAAAAAGGCAAACCCACCTGTGTATACTGTGAATGTGAGTGGGATGAACATAAATGTCAGGATTTGATAGATGGACTTCTGACTCTCTGGGAACTGATGCACTACCGTGATAAATTAGCAGAATTCACACTTTTGTGGGTCACTAATGAAGCCACATTCACCTAGCAATGAAAAAAGTGAGAAGATAATGTAAGTGCTTGGCTTCGAATGCAGTTGCAACAAGAAGACATCCTGTACAAGCATGAACAAAAGGTAGATTGTAACTAACTGGATAAAAGTCCTCCTAAAGTTTTCGTGCCACACTAATTGATAAATGATATGCAAACAGATACAAACTATCCAAAAAGACAATTAATGGAGGTTGAACGGGAACCACTCGGTTCTAATCATATATGGCAATAAACTCGGACGACAAAGGTTTTCGGGAAAGTGTTTGCATTCGGATATAAGTATAGCAAATCAAAATCTGATATTTCAGGTCAGCAAGTGTGTCCAGCTGTTTTCAGTTTAGACAGGGAAACATTCGACTGGGTGCTTGAGGGAAATGACAGTGCGCGTTTTGGTAGTCTCACAGTTCTGAGCTATATTCTACCATCAGCTACTATGTTTTCAGGTCTAACTGACAGGCTTTTGATGCTAGGGGAAGACCATTTGTGACGAAGTAGAAGTTTGGCTGTCATCAAGGATCTTTCCAGGGACGATGAATAATCTATTCTAATAGCAAGTGAAATATGTGTATACAGAGGCGTTCCAAAAACTCATTACAGTCAACTAGAAACAGCACGAACAGAATATATGAAAAATCAAATCTGAAATTATCCAGTACACACAAACTAAATTACCCTTTGATAACCCGAATCCTTTCATTTAGGATCAGAAGTCCCCCAAAAAATTTATTTTTTGAGGCTATTCGCATGGATCTACGAGTAAGTAAGTTTCCATGGAATGTTTCACAGTTTTCGCATTTTAGCACAGTGAAACTCGACTGATGACATAAGACATGTGTCTAAGCCACTTAGGTACGGAAGAATATTCGCGGACTGTGATTTGGCCGGAAATACTCACATTTACTCTATCAGGCTGCAATCTACCTAAAGGTGCTAGTCTTGAATCACCTTCGATTAAAATTGGACATTGAACTGAGTGTTTAACTGAGTTGCTACTCTAGAATTGTCTAGCGTGCAGTTACTTTGCTTACTAACATGTCGGGTGATCACTCAGTTGCGTAAGTTAAGACATTGGCTAGTAATCCTTTTCCAGTGTTCAACCTCCAGTCTTGTGGGCTCAGAGAAATGATTGCTTGTATATCACAATAAGTCTCACTGATATAAAGAACAAAACAATCGATATAAAAGATCAGTCATTGGAGTTCAAGTACAGTTTGTTTATCTCTAAGCTTATACCTGCATATTCTTTTAGAGCTAATGCTGGCAAAGACAAACAGACTGACTACGAAGTGAAGCTTGATTTTTATGCACCAGTGTGCACAGAAGTATGTTGGTGTTCTTAAATCCCTATGTCTCTAGGACCCCAAGATTTCTGCATCCGGTCGTGAAGTTGTACTGTGTATCAAAAAGAAAGAACCAGGCTCATGGCCTCGCCTTCTCTCTCAGAAGGCTAAATGCCCCTGGCTAAAGACCGATTTCAGCCGCTGGAAAGATGAGGATGACTCCGAACCTGATATGGATGGAAATAATTTCTCTAGTATGCTCTCTCAGATGTCAAATTTCAATGATTATGGTGGCGATGATGGAGCGGACGGAGACCTGGATTCTGATGACGAAGGTTAGTTATCACAAATGTATTTCGTCAGCTCGACACCTGTCAAACAACCTAATTGGCAGTATAATGCATCTGTCCAACACGACGGCTTTCAGGGACTATTGGATATTCGTAGTGCATTTCCCCCACTATACGTAGAGCGAATGATATTTTAGTAGATGATAAGCTCCACATCAACTACATGGCGCTCACCAAGTTGGGCTAGTTGGTTCGGTCAGTAGGCTACGTGCCTAGACTTTGTATCAATGACTTAAGTTTGAACAGTGAGATAGTAGGTAAAGCCTACCAGCATGTATGTTTTACCCAGCTAGCATTTTTTCGGGCGCATTGCAGACTTTTTGGGGCAAACTTCGGGACACTGTCTCACGTAAGTAAATCTACCCGAAGTTTTTGCCCCAGAAAGTCTGCAATGCGCCCGAAAAAATGCTAGCTGGGTTATCGCCCCCCCCCGCATAAAACGCGCATCTGAGAGTCAACACCACCCTTAACAATGCTGGTGTCGCCAGTATCGTTTTTACTTAGGTGTCGACGTAGAATTTCAGTCGATTTACTTGTTTGAACATCTTATTGGGCTTTTGGATAGAATTAATGCAATTTGTTTATTTTCAAGCCCAAACCACTATGGTTTCGACAGGTCTTGTGGAGGACAAGCAACTGTAATGACATTCAAACAGTGAGTATATCCCATGGAAACTAATATTCAAACGTTATTATCCGTTGGCTGGTTACAATTGTATGAAATGGCACAAAGCAAGTTTCACTGTGACTTTCGAGGCTTTCTTCGCGGTTTCTCTACATGCATTTTTCATCTGATTGTCCTTCAAATATGGCTTAACTCCACCTTTATGGCACGCACTGCGTCAATTTGAAGCTTGAGTTAATAAGCGTATCTTTAACATTACCAGTAACATAGTCACTGAACCTTTCATTCCCGGATAACTCTTTTCGTGTTATTTTCTTCAGATCTTCCTGATCTCGAGGTGCCAAGCACGGATGCTGAAAAACTCGAAAAGAATGGAACCGAAGAAGAAGAAGAGGAAAAGAAATCAGAGATTAAGGCCTAGGAGAGATCAGTTGAGTGAACATCCCAAATATCACACGACGGTAGTTTGGAAACCGTCTGTACATGAGCATTTTTACAACTCTGCACCACTAACTATGTTCCTATTATAATTCTCAACAGAATAATTCTGCTTTTTATTGCTTTCTCATGGTGCATTTTGTTCACTGTATTTTTATCATTATATTTCTAGGTTCTCGCTTAACATTCACATTCGTGTGTACTTGTTTTCGTAGCAGTAGCCAAATAATGACATGCTGCTGGAGTGTAATATATTCTTTAGATTTCACAAAGCAAGAGCCGTACAGCTACCTTAATGGCAGTTGATCTCATTTCTGTTTACTCGTAGTGTAAGCGTTATTGTGTTGTGAATGATTACTTGTTTCATTATTACGGCTTACGCTGGTATCTGTCACTCCATCCTAGCGCTTCCACAGAGTTGGCTAACAACATTATAGGGTGACCACGCTTTGAATCTTTGGTTTGCAGTCAGGATCATGGTTCATCACTGTGATTCCATTTAGAATTGAAGTCCCGTAGGTTTACTAGAAGGGTGGGCTTATTTTGTGAAGTATAATTATGACAAAATGTGAATGCAATTGTATAACTAGTCGGTCAGGAGATTCCTTTGGGTATGGTGGACTGAATTGGTTGTTGTGAGGTTGAAAGTCCTGCTTCCCACGTGTTGAATGGGTATTCTTTACTCTTCAGAAGCCAGTCGACTTTTGAAAATGTCTTATCCGGTAGAAATACTCAAGACTAGTGGGCCACTTATCCAACTTTTATCCGAAAGCTTTGTCAAACAAGAAACGTCCTACTTTAATGTCGTGTCAGTATTTGTCTAGATAAAGTAGTGACTTACTTTTATTTGTATTTACTCTAGCTAAAGGAGCAACTGACTAGGATAATCGGCTGCTGAACTTTCATCACCTGCGTAAAGACCACGGGTCTCCTAATCCCTACGAATTCGGTATGGCACGATTCTACAGTTGGGAAATCATCGCTTTTGATTGCATGATGCGACTGTTTTTTCGCTCTCAGCTGCCAACACTGGTATCATTGTTGATTTTCTGTCTGAGGCTGTTAGACTCGACATATGGGTAGCATAGACAGTATGGCATATATGGTAGGGCTGGGGCATACGCGTCAATTAGTAGTAGTCAGTCTACCAACTAGAGAGAAATCACTGCCTGCTCGTTAGTAACCGCTTATCTAGGTGAAACAATCTTCAAGTTGGTAACTGTTCAGGATTCAGGTCTTTCTGACCTATAGAAGGCAGTAATAGGTTTTGAGTTTATGAGTATATCACTAAACGACATTGTGGTTGGTGACTAGGTTAGTTTTGGGTTAGTCAGCTATCCTAGATATCTTCAATTCCGACTGAATTGTGAATGCTTCCAATTCAGTTATGTGTTATAGGGTGATGAAGGGCAACCTCTGATGTTAGGCCGCATAGTAAGGAATGTATACATAAAGATGTCGGTGATAGAGGCAGTAAATGTCTGTAGTATCGTTAAACGTTGAGAAATTTCGGGCGACTGCACATGATTCTTAACAAGGTGAGAATAAGAATGGAGAAAACTTATGACGGTTAGAGGAGCTTGTCATATAGAATAATTAGGTTTGTCTAGTATCGTGTAATGTATGTGGGGTTAATTAATTATATCGGGATTAGTTAGATTAGTAAAAAACAAGTAAACTCGGACTAATGAACCTTGCTAAGATGAAGAATCTGGTATATGGTTCATCTGTGGAACTACGCGATAGGATAGGACAAGATGACATTCTTACAATGTGTAATCCCACGGAGTAGATTGGATGGTTGATAACAGAGTGCTTATTAATAGAATCATTAGGGAATACATACGACAAGAATGATTCAGCCCCATACGACTAGAACTAAAATAACCGGGTTTTGGAGTCACTACTGATGTGATTATGAACAGAAGGTGGCGTTAGGACTGTCTATCCGATATGAGCGTCGGTGGCACAGTGGTTAGGACTCTCGCCGACCATGCACATGGTCCGAGGTTCGAGCCCACACCGGCGCATACCTGATATCTATGGTCGGCCTGCAAAATTTGGGCTACCGATATCCATGCTGAAAATTCCGTACTTGTACCAAAAATACAGTGTGGAATCAAGCTGTAAATAAAAAAAAAAATAAAACAGATAACCACATATGTCCACACGGTCGAAGTAGTGCACATACTGCCTGTTTTCAGCATCGATGTTCAGTAGTTCAAGCCGCCACACTCCATTCAGCACGCAAAGCAAGAGAGGAAATGCATATTAGTAACACTAGACAGGGATATGAGACAAAGGAGTAGTTATAACGAAAAGCAATATAGTTTCATTGGATATCATAAGTCGCAAAGAGTGGTTCCATATGCGTCAGCGGTTGGGAACGATTTTGAGCCATATCACCGATTGTTTCCAGCACTCATTAGTTTTACCGTCCTAAGGACCCGAACCAGGAAGTCAACATTTTCGTACGTGGCTTGAACTAACTTGTGGATTTCATTGACTGATGTTTTGGTTTGACCAGTATCAACTTTCTCTCTTCCAACCTGACCCTATGTCAGCTAACGTTGCCCGTCAAGGAAGGCGACGACTAGGCATACGTAACGCATGTCCTAACCATCTCAATCGATGTAACTTCACAGCCTCGTCAATTGATTTCCCTTACCTTGCACTCGACCGATGTCTAACCTCAATATTGCTCACCGTATTATACCACTTCATACGGGAGATAGAACTCAAGCACCTACAATCAAAGACAGCCAGGTCTTTCTTGTCTTCCACTCTCAATGGCCAGTTGTCACAGCCGTAAAGGAGGACGGAGTGGACTGATGAGCAGTATACCTGCCCTTTGGTTGATAGCTAGTCCAATATCACATCTACGTCAGAGATGGTATAAAGTGGCATATACGAGACTAGCCTTCTGTATTCGCACCGAGACTTCGTTAGTGATCAACCCGTTGGCGCTGGCTGATGCAACTTCCCAAATAAGTGAAGTGGTCAACACTCTCCACTAACAACTTCACTCCCTATTTCTAAGCTAGGAGTCAATATAGTCCTGTAACATCATCTTACATTTGGCGGGGGCAAATAGCGGGCTTAACATTCGTAGATTGCAGCTCTGTGCATATGCAGAATGTGTTCAAGCCTAGTCACTTTAGTGGTTTTCCAACAGTCTAATTATACTTTCGAATACTTGTTCTTCAGTAAACTACCTGAACATTCACGCGAAGATGGGAGACTTGTTTCTGAATAGTATATTTAGCCAAAGACGTTTATTGGCTTTCCACAATTATAGGGAGCGATAGAACTGTTAGTGAGACATGCTTCAATCAGTCTAAGAAACATTATAGACTATACCCGCTCCTTTATGGGTGAATTTTGTTTTGATAGTGTCACAGTGTTATACAGTAATGCTTACTGATGACGTTTCGAGCACAATTCATCACTCGTGGTAATCATATCAAGGCACGACTCACACAACTTTCTAACTCCGTTTGTATAATTCCATTGTTTTTCACTTGATTTGATTGGTAGTAGTATTTTCCATATTTCAGGTATGAGTGATGAATCGTTCCTATTGTATGTGTTGGGTGTAGACTCGATGAACAAGGATTCAGTAATCAACCTCCCCACCTACCTAGATTACATTTTAGAATTTTAACCCTATGCCGCCCTATTGTGTGGTTGTGTGTTAGTCCATGCATTGCAATTGCTGAGCTTTTTTTCTAAATTACTTATCTTCTCGGGGTCAACCATTCTTACCTTAGCTAAATTCTTATGTTCTGACTACCCCTGACCCACTAGTTTGACCTATGTAATTGACCTCACAGTCATTGCAGGGTATTTTGTAAATTATATTATTTTGTCTAATTGGGTCAACTGGGTCCTTTAACCTACAGAGCTTGTCCCTGAGTGAGTTAGTAGGTTTAAATGCCACCCTAATTCCTGCTTTATTTCGAATCCTACGTAGGGTCTCAGATGTCCCCTCCTTATATGGTATAACAGTGGATGACTTATATTCCCTCTTATTTATGTTATCATTACTAGTTTCACAATTATTTTTATTTATCGTTTGGCCTTTTTCTATCTTCCCAATGAATTTTATAGGATAGTTATTTAACACCAACGCCTCTTCTATCTGTTTTAGTTCATCATTTAGGTCTTTTTTCGTGCTACTTAGTGCCACTCCTTGGTTTGTTAGACACTTTACTAAGCCTGCCCTAATAGTTAACGGATGAGGTGAATTAAAGTCTAAGTATCTATTAGAATGAGTTGGTTGTCTATAAACACTAGTGTGTAGTTTGCCTTCTTCTATTCGTTTTATTTTACAATCTAACATAGCTAATTCTCCTTGTTCATTTTCTGCTTCAAATGGGAATTTTATTCCCTCCACTAGTGAGTTTATGTGTGTCAAGAAGCTAGAGAGAGATATATTCTGTTTTTAACACTGTAAAATTGTCATCCACATATCTCCACTATATTTTTGGAGTAGTATTAAATGTATTAAGAGCCATATTTTCCCAGCTGTCCATAAACATATCTACTACGATAGAGGATATTGGTGATCCCATGGCCATGGCTACATTTTCAGTTTGTCTATATATTTTGCCTTGAAATTTTAAGATAGTAGATGTGAGACAGCATAACTGAATTCGTAAAATAATTTCTTCAGTAAATAGCTTCGTCCTGTAAGTGAGTTGGAAATATGGGAAATACTACTACCAATCAAATCAAGTGAAAAACAATTGAACTATATAAATGAAGTTAGGAAGTCGTGTGAGTAATGCATTGATATGAATATGATGAGTGATAAATTGTGCTCGAAACGTCATCAGTAAACATTACTGTATAACACTGTGAGACTTTATCAAAACAAAAATTTATCCATAATGGAATTACACTCTACCACAGTGCATAAGTTTTATTCTTATATCAATACCTGCTCCTTCCTATAATTAAGTAAACGTTACATCATGTTCC